ACTTGAAGCCGCGTGGTGTAAATGGCTGGCAGATGCTGCTGTTACAGAACTTATAGTTGCGTTATGAGAATGTTCTTTTATCCTTGTCATATCTCTTTGGGAGCCACTAATCTGACTCTCTGAAGATGCTCATAGGCCGGGGAGATCATCCCGCAAAGGAAAAGTATATCAGATTGTATATGAGCACATAGACGAAGCTATTCTTGCAGTGGTTGTCAACTAAAGAGCAGTGGATAAGTGGTTAGCACTTCCGCCTGGTAGCACTGGGGTCACTAGTTCGAATCCCAACCATGGCACCACCTGCCTGGAGTTTGCATGTTCTCCCTGTGCCTGCGTGGGTTTCCCCCGAGTACTCTGGTTTCCTCCCACACTCAAAAGACATGCCGGTAGCTGAATTGGCTCCTGCCTACATTGTCCCTAGTATGTGTATGTATGAATGTGAGTTAGGGACCTTAGATTGTACGCCCCTTGAGGGTTAGGGACCTTAGATTGTACGCCCCTTGAGGGTCAGGGACTGATGTGAATGTACAATATATACGTAAAGCTTTGAGTAACGAACCTGCAATAAATAATTATTGCAGTGTTTATCTTGAATATTTTTGTTATCGTATTAAATGTTGCATTTTGATTAGCTCCTAGAGCAGTGGTCTCCAAACTGCGACCCAGGGGCCGGATGCAGCCCTTTGCTTGCTTTTATCTGGCCCTTGGGGCACTATAACATCCACTGACACCAACAACTGGGCATGAGTCCTCCCATTGACACCAACAATCGGGGATATGTCCTCCCACTGACAGCAATGAAGGGGCAGAATTCCTCCCAATGACACCCAACAATGGCGCACAATTCTTCCCAATAACACCAACTATTTGGCATATGTCCTCCCATTGACACCAATGAAGGGGCAAAATTCCTCTTAATGACACCAATGATGGGGGTACTATTTCCTATCACTGAGACCAGCGATGGGGCATTGTTTATTCCCACTGAGACCAACGATGGGGCATTGTTTACTCCCTAATGACACCAACTATGGGGTACTCTTTACTCCCACTGACACCAACTATGGGGTACTGTTTACTCCCACTGACACCAAAGATGGGGCATTGTTTGCTCCCAATGACAACAAAGATGGGGCATTGTTTGCTCCCAATGACAACAAAGATGGGGCATTGTTTGCTCCCAATGACAACAAAGATGGGGCATTGTTTGCTCCCAATGACAACAAAGATGGGGCATTGTTTGCTCCCACTGACAACAAAGATGGGGCATTGTTTGCTTCCACTGACCCAACTATGGGGCATTGTTTACTCCCACTGACACCAATTATGGGGCATTGTTTGCTCCCACTGACACCAATTATGGGGCATTGTTTGCTCCCACTGACACCAATTATGGGGCATTGTTTGCTCCCACTGACACCAAGGATTGGGCATTGTTTACTCCCACTGAAACCAATGATGGGGCATTGTTTGCTCCCACTGACCCCAACTATGGGGCATTGTTTACTCCCACTGACACCAATTATGGGGCATTGTTTGCTCCCACTGACACCAATTATGGGGCATTGTTTGCTCCCACTGACACCAATTATGGGGCATTGTTTGCTCCCACTGACATCAAGGATTGGGCATTGTTTACTCCCACTGACACCAACGATGGGGCATTGTTTTCGGCACTATTTTCAGCTGATACGTTTTGGCCGCCGATATATCTGTGCATCCCTAGTAAATTATTATTATTATTATACAGTATTTATATAGCGCTAAAAGGTTTGCTCAGCGCTGTACATTATAGAGGGGGACAGAACATGAGACAATACAGTAACAATACAATACACGAGGGGTTCGAGGGCCCTGCTTTTTCCAGCTTACAATTGTGGACACCGATACCTGGCTTTTTTGTGGCATTGGCACAGTGAAGGTCTCTTTCTGGCATCTTGACCACCGAAGTGAACACCGATACCTGGCTTTTTTGTGGCCTCTTTCTGGCATCTTGGCCACCGAAGTGGACATCGATACCGGGATTTTTTGTGGCGTTGGCTCAGTGAAGGCCTCTTTCTGGCATCTTGACCACCGAAGTGGACGTCGATACCGGGATTTTTTGTGGCATTGGCTCAGTGAAGGACTCTTTCTGGCATCTTGACCAACGAAGTGGACATCGATACCTGGCTTTTTTGTGGCCTCTTTCTGGCATCTTGATTACCAAAGTGGACACCGATACCGGGCATTGGCTCAGTGAAGGCCTCTTTCTGGTATCTTGACCTCCGAAGTGGACATCACTACCGGGCTTTTTTGTGGCATTGGTGCAGTGAAGACCTCTTTCTGGCATCTTGACCACCGAAGTAGACATCGATACTCTGCTTTTTTGTGGCAGTGGCTCAGTGAAGGCCTCTTTCTGGCATCTTGACCACTAAAGTGGACACTGCTACTCCAGTGATCTGCACTTGTTTCTGGGTCCTGTGCTGAGCGGCCGTTCTGATGCAATGTGAGCTCAGGAGGTCGGCCGTTTGACATGGGCACCGTTCAAAAAGTGATTTGCTTTTTCTAAATGAACGCAAAGTGTTCTCTGATTAGACAAGGTGGAGAGGCCGGCTGGTGATGTCACATGGATCAGATGCCTGTATTTATCATCTCTTGGCCACCCATGTGAAAGGAGCCTACCAGTGGTCATGTGACGGAATGTAGGCATTTATTACTTTGAAATGAACCTACGGCCAGGCTATGGACATTCAGGTGTTTAGGTTTATGTACAAATAGTAAATGATCTTTAAGGCCTCCTCCACACGGCATTGATGTTTGAGCACCAGCATTTCTGGATGTAATTTCAGACGTTTGTTTTGTGCATATTCGCGCTCACGCGTACAATGCACCCCTATGCAGAAACCATTAGTATGCTCATATGCACATTTTTTTTTTTTTTTTTTACTCAAGAATACAGGCACACTGTAAACAATGGGCTGCATGGGGGCACCCGAGTAGGTGCGCTTCCGAGCCATGGCTCTGTGTGTCCATTGGCACCACCGGGGCTCGGCCCACCCCCTCCAGAGTCATAGAATGTTTGAAGGTAAAAAAGCCTTGAGACTTTAGAACCACTTTAAAGTGATTGATCTTTAACCTCTTTGCACCGGCCACACGCAAATGTGCAGCCTCCCAGCGTCTGGGCCTTGACGCTGAGCGGCCGCACATTTGCATGCAATTAAGACAAACATATGTGCTGAGAGCGCGTGCCCTGCGCACTCCCAGCACACATGTCCGGTGCTCACGGAAAGGTCCCGATCTCCTCTTTCGATCGGGACCTCTCCCGATCATGTGACTGCCATGACGGTGAATCACAGTGGCCACATGACCCTAAAACCCCGCCCCCGCCTCCTGGCTTCTGAAACCCTTAAAGGGCCGGGAGGTGCCAAGGGGGTTAAAACAAGCCTTCACTGACTCCTGAAGCTCCAGTTAGGCCTCTTTCACAGGGGCATTCCGTCTGTCTGTTTTTCATCTGTCCGTTTATGGATGAAAAACGGACCCCCATGTATTTCTATGGACTTGTGGATGTAAACGGATGAACATCTTTTTACATCCGTTAATGTCCACATCCGTTATTTTTTGAACGGAAGAAATCCATATTTTTCTTCGGTAAAAAACCTAGAAAAATGGATGTCAATGGATGTAAACAGACCAAAAAGGATGTAAATAGATCTAAACGGATGTAAACGGGTCTAAATGGCTGAAAAACACATATAAACCAATGTAAACGGATGAAAAACAGATTAAAAAAAGGATGAAAAAATGAATGTAAACGGATGAAAAAAAACTAATGTAAATGAATGAAAAAAATGGATGTAAACTCATCTGGTTTTTCTTGGAGAAAATGTGACTAAACTGAAGAAAAAAAAAAAAAACGCCCGTGTGAAAGGACCCTAAGGCTGGCCATACACTATACCATTTTCTTACAGATTTCTGACCAATATCTGCCCTATTTACTTTAGATTTACCTTCCACTATGTAGTGCAAGGGACCGCCTAATTAGATACAATTGAAAGTGTTGTTTAGGTTGGACCTCGTATTATATGGTTTTTGGTAAATCTAAAGTCAAAATCTCAGGAAAATTGTATAATGTATGGCCAGCCTAAAGCGGGCCATAGACGGGTCGAAAACCGGCCGTTTAAAAAAAAAAAAAAAAACGTAAAATCGGTCGTTCGATTAGCCGACGTTACCACGAACGGTAAAAAAAATCGTCAGATTTTCGTCCCGTCTACGGCCGGCATTTAACCCCATAATTACTTCTGTCCCTGCAGAGAGCTCCGCTATTATATTTTACATGAAAAAGTCTTGCAGCAATGTATCCATTTGTATCCATTTCGGATACAGATGTTTTTATTCGGATACAATTGGACACATTGTTGCAACCACAAGACTTTTTCATGTAAAATATAATAGCGGAGCTCTCTGCAGGGACAGAAGTAATTATGGGGTTAAATGCCGGCCGTAGACGGGACGAAAATCGGCCGATTTTTTTACCGTTGGTGGTAACGTCGGACTGGAAATTTTCTTCTTTTTCTTCTTCTTTTTACTTCTTCTTCTCCCCCTCCTCCTCCCCCTCCTCCTCCCCTCCCTCCCCTCCCCCCCTCGTATTTCTCCTCCCCCTTGTCTTCCTCCTATCCCTCGTCCTCCTCCCCCCCCTCCTCCTTTTTCTTATTCTTTTTCTTCTTCTTGCAGGTCACGGCTCATGCGCAGATTTTTTTACGTTAAAACGATCGGCCGGTTTGCCCATCATTGCCGGGAAAATCGGCCGATCGTCAAAATCGGCCGCAAATTTTCCAACATGCCCGATTAAAAAAAATGTGCAAAAAACCCGAAAAAGGGCCGACCAATTAACCCACTAACGGTGCGAAAATCGGTTGATTTTCGACCCGTCTATGGCCTGCATTACTGTGGGGAAATTTGTCTTCCAAGTTGTGTCTGTTTTGACCTTTCTTTTTTTTTTCCCCTTTGCTTTTCTTGTGCAGGTTCTAGACCCAGAGCAGAACCACAACTTCACAGATCACTATCTGAACGTGCCCTTTGACCTTTCCCAGGTCATCTTCATTGCCACTGCTAATACAACCGCCACCATTCCACCTGCCCTCCTGGATCGCATGGAAGTTCTTGAGGTTCCTGGTAAGCACAGATAATAAAGTAGATGTGTCATTTGTCAGACAACGGAATGCCTTGCAGGAGAAGTGTCTAGCTTGGTGGGACCATGTGCTGAGGAGAGGCTTGACGTATCCTGCAACAGGATTGCTTGATGGCAATCTCCTCTACAAAGCAAAACGTCATCCACCATAATAAGAACTTTATCCCAGATAACCGGCAGGCTGCAAGTTCTTTAGACTTCTACGAAGGTCCGCAATAGAAAATAGGACCTGTTCATACACACGGACGGACGAATCGGCGCTGTATGCCTTCTAATGGTCTGACTTTATTTCTCTTCTGTTGCTGAAGGATGTTGTTTTGTACTGCAGGAACATGTCAGAAGGGAGTAGACTTCATAGGAAAGGGTGGGGCCCTTCTATATCCTTTGATCAGCACATTGATGAAATGATAATCCGGCAACATGTTGGAACTGCAGGACAATGTCATTTTGTTATGGAAGTTCTTGGCCCACGTAAAGTCATCTGACCCTTCCTCCATGTCCCTTGTTCTAGGGATGCCTTCTGCAAAGCTTACGTCCTTGACCATAAAGACGCTTTCACAGCAGGATTGACATTTCAGATTTTTAAGTCGCATACAGAGGCCTAAACATTAACATTGTAATGTAACTTCATTTTAACTACATTAACCATTGGCCGCCCGGCGGCTTCAAATGTGTTCCTGCATTCCGGGTGCACGCCATTTGGCGTGCTCCCGCACATGCGCAGTTTGCGCTAATGCAGAGCGGCGCAGCAGCGCGATCTGTCACCGGCCGTGTACCTCGGGCACGGCCGATGACAAATCCGAGTACCGGCTCCCGTTGCTGGTACCATGTGACCTGCTGTGACCAATCACAGCAGGTCACATTACAGTTGTATACAATGGATGGCTTCATTCATGCCATCCATTGTATACTAGTGCCTAGCTGTGAATGGTCACAGCAGGTCACATGCACATGTCATGTGATTAGCTGTGACCAAATCACAGCTAAGCACAAAAAAAAAAAAAAAAAGCTGAATGAATCGATTTCATTCACGTAAATGCTTGCTTATAGCAAAGTAATCTTTGCTATTAGCAAATTGTGTAAAAAAAAAAAAAAAATACTGATCACTTCCCCAAAGTAGTACAATGTTACTATGGTAACATTGTACTACTTTGGTCATAGTAAAATATGAAAAAAAAATCTTAAAAAAAATAAAAAAAAATGTAATAAAAAATTAAAAATAATAAAAAAATTAAAAAAAAATTAAAAAAAAATATTATTTTTTTTTTTCATACTGTCACCAGTCAGTGTCCCTGTTCACCGCCATGCCAGTTATATGATGACGCTGTACTGTACTGGTGACAGTATGTAAAAAAAAAAAATAGCGAAAATAATTTTTTTAATTTTTTCATTTTCCGAAAAATTATGACAAAAAAAATACAACTTCAAAAAACTCGCCATGCCTCTTATGAAGTACGTCGGACTGTCTACTCTGCAAAAAGGGGTAATTTGGGGATATCTGTACTATTCTGACATTTGGGGGATATCTGTACTATTCTGACATTCTTGGACCTCAAGAAATTAGATTGGCTGTCAGTACTTCAGGACTGATCAATATTCAGATCATATACCATAGTTTGTGAACTCTATAACTTTCCTACAAACTAAATAATACATCCTAATTTGGGTTATTTTCACCAAAGACATGTAGCAGAATACATCTCGGCCTAAATTTATGAAGAACAATTATTTATTTGTAAACTTTTATAACAGAAACAAAGAAAAATGTTTTTTTTTCAAAATTTTTGGTCTTTTTTTGTTAATTTAGCAAAAAATAAAAACCCCAGCGGTGATTAAATACCACCAAAAGAAAGCTCTAGTTGTGTGAAGAAAATGATAAAATTTTAGTTTGGGTACAATGTTGTATGTCCGCGCAATTGTCATTCAAAGTGTGAGAGCGCTGAAACCTGAAAAATGGCCTGGGCAGGAAGGGGTAAAATTGCCCGGTATTGAAACGGTTAAACTCCAGGAGTGAAACGTGGCCAAAAAATAGACAACTTTAAGGGTTGGTTGGTAATTTAAAGAATAGGCTAATTCAGTGATTGTCAACAATATATATATATACAGTGAAGGAAATAAGTATTTGCTCCTTTTCTTCATCTGTGCAGCTTTAGAGTCACGCATGTGGCCGTATACCCAGGGGTAAATGACACGCCTCCTCCCTCCCACCTCCTCCATGTCCTATTGCTGTGCGGTCTGTTAAATATATACATGCTATATTACATATATGTGTTCCTACTCACACATCCTCCAGAACATTTGTTTTGTATAGACTGCAAAACTCCTGGTTGATCCTGCCGTTCACTGTCCCTCCCTCCTTGTCTGTGTCCCCGCTGCAGATTGATTAGACCAGCTGTTGACATCTACTGAGCATGCTCCAGTTTTAGTTCTCTTCTAAGCTGTTCATTTGCTCCTTTTTTTAATCTGTGCAGCTATAGAGTCACGCATGTGGGTGTATACCCAGTGGTAAATGACACGCCTCCTCCATGTCCTCCTATTGCTATGTGGTCTGCTAAGTGTTTCCTTACAGTATACACACACAGTATCTCCCAGAAGTGAGTCCACCCCTCATATTTTTGTAAATCTTTGATTCTACCTTTTCATGTGACAACACTGAAGAAATGACACTTTGATACAATGTCATAGTCAGTGTACAGCTTGTATAACATGTAAATTTGCTGTATGCTCAAAATAACTCAACACACCGCCATTAATGTCTAAACCGCTGGCAACAAAATTAGTCCACCCCTAAGTGACAAGGTCCAAATTGGGCCCAATTAGCCATTTCCCCTCCCCGGTATCATGTGACTCGTTGGTGTTACAAGGTCTCGGGTGTGAATGGGGAGCAGGTGGGTTACATTTGGTGTTATCGCTCTCACTCTCTCATACTGGTCACTGGAAGTTCAACATGGCACCTCATGGCAAAGAACTCTGGTTCTTTGTGACATGGCAAAGAACAGAAGAATTGTTGCTCTACATAAAGATGGCCTAGGCTATAAGAAGATTGCCAAGACCCTGAAACTGGGCTGCAGCACGATGGCCAAGACCATACAGCGGTTTAACAGGACAGGTTCCACTCAGAACAGGCCTCGCCATGGTCGTCCAAAGGAGTTGAGTGCACGTGCTCAGTGTCATATCCAGAGGGTGTCTTTGGGAAATAGACGTATGAGTGCTGCCAGCATTGCTGCAGAGGTTGAAGGGGTGGGGGGGGTCAGCCTGTCAGTGCTCAGACCATACGCCGCACACTGCATCAAATTGGTGTGCATGGCTGTCATCCCAGAAGGAAGCCTCTTCTAAAGATGATGACCAAGAAAGCCCACAAACAGTTTGCTGAAGACAAGTAGACTAAGGACATGGAGTACTGGAACCATGTTCTGTGGTCTGATGACACCAAGATCAGCTGATTTGGTTCAGATGGTGTCAAGCATGTGTGGTGGCAACCAGGTGAGGAGTACAAAGACAAGTGTGTCTTGCCTACAGTCAAGCATGGTGGTGGGGGGTGTCATGGTCTGGGGCTACATGAGTGCTGCTGGCGCTGGGGAGCTACAGTTCATTGAGGGAACCATGAATGCTAACATGTACTGTGACATACTGAAACAGAGCATGATCCCCTCCCTTCAGAGCTTGGGCCGCAGGGCAGTATTCCAACCTAACGACCCCAAACCCACCTCCAAGACCACCACTGCCTTGCTAAAGAAGCTGAGGGTAACGGTGATCGACTGGCCAAGCATGTCTCCAGACCTAAACCCTATTGAGCATCTGTGGGGCCTCCTCAAACCGAAGGTGAAGGAGCGCAAGGTCTCCAACATCCACCAGCTCCGTGATGTCATCATGGAGGAGTGGAAGAGGACTCCAGTGGAAACCTGTGAAGCTCTGGTGAACTCCATGCCCAAGAGGGTTAAGGCAGTGCTGGAAAATAATGGCGGCCACACAAAATATTGCCACTTTGGGCCCAATTTGGACCTTGTCACTTAGGGGTGGACTCACTTTTATTGCCAGCTGTTTAGACATTAATGGCGGTGTGTTGAGTTATTCTGAGGGGACAGCAAATTTCCATGTTATACAAGCTGTACACTGACTACGTCACATTGTAGCAAAGTGTCATTTCTTCAGTGTTGTCACATGAAAAGATAGAATCAAATATTTACACAACTGTGAGGGGTGGACTCACTTCTGGAAGATACTGTGTGTGTGCACATATATATACACTAATAATTATAAAAAATAGATATTTTTATGATTAGCAAACATTCATAAAATTATTTGGTAATAAAATAAATCAGGGCAGCACAGTGGCTAAATGGTTAGCACTTCCACCTGGCAGCACTGTGGTCATTGGTTCAAATCGCAGCCAAGACTCCACCTTGCCATTAGATGACTCCTGTGTCTCTTGGCTGCACAGATTTATAAATATGGACAGACTGTGTTATCATTGTCTCCATTCAGGATACACTCAGGAAGAGAAGATTGAGATCGCACACAGACATCTCATTGCTAAACAACTGGCACAGCATGGACTGACCCCTCAGCAAATACAGATTCCACCTGAAACAACTCTGGAAATTATCACCAGGTAAGCACTCTTATGGAGAGCGTAGGAAGATCATTTGTGTTGCCTGTAACAACCATTGATTCTTATTGGTTATCTTGTTAGCAAATCAGACTTTAAAGAGACCCGGTTACATTGCCCGTTGACCGCAATGTAACAGGGTCTGTGAAAGCCCATCTCCTGACTAGTGTATACTTGCCTCTCTAGTGCTCCCCTGCCACCACGCTATCTTCCATTGCAACATCACCAAAATGCTCAATATTGACTATCTCAGAGGGAGCTGTGACCTCCATCATTCCCTACAATGGTGCCATATCTCAGAGGGAGCTGTGACCTCCATCATTCCCTACAATGGTGCCATATCTCAGAGGGAGCTGTGACCTCCGTCATTCCCTACAATAGTGTCCTATCTCTGAGCTGTGACCTCCATCATTCCCTACAATGGTGCCATATCTCAGAGGGAGCTGTGACCTCCATCATTCCCTACAATGGTGCCATATATCAGTGAGAGCTGTGACCTCCATCATTCCCTACAATAGTGCCATATATCAGAGGGAGCTGTGACCTCCATCATTCCCTACAATGGTGCCATATCTCAGAGGGAGCTGTGACCTCCATCATTCCCTACAATGGTGCCATATCTCAGAGGGAGCTGTGACCACTGTCATTCCCTACAATAGTGACCTATCTCTGAGCTGTGACCTTCATCTCCCTACAGTGGTGACCATATCTTCGAGGGAGCTGTGATCTCTCATCTTCCCTACAATAGTGTCTTATCTCAGAGGGAGCTGTGACTCCATCATTCCCTACAATGGTGTCATATATCAGTGAGAGCTGTGACCTCCATCATTCCCTACAATGGTGTCATATCTCAGAGGGAGCTGTGACCTCCATCATTCCCTACAATGGTGTCATATCTCAGAGGTAGCTGTGACCTCCGTCATTCCCTACAATGGTGTCATCTCAGAGGGAGCTGTGACCTCCATCATTCCCTACAATGGTGTCATATCTTAGAGGGAACTGTGATCTCCGTCATTCTTTAAAATAGTGCTCTGGCCTAGTAGTTGGCCCCTAGGCCCGAGCACTGCAGCATGGAATTATGTATCTTAGTATTCTATCTCAGAGGGAGCTGTGACCTCCATTATTCCGTGCAATAGTGCTCTGGCCTAGCAATTGGCCGCTTGGCCCAAGCACTGCATCAAGGGAGGCCACATACCCAGAAGCCATTTTTGATTTTCAGCAACCAGCACATGCCCACAGAAGAGGGAGTGAAAGGAGAGTGCTTGCCAAAGTAGCATAAAGTATTTAGGTGATGGCCTTTACATGGACCCTGGCACTTTCTTCTAAATGGGCAGGGTGACTGGGTCACAGCTCCCTCCAAGATATGACAGTAAGATGCATGATCCCATGATGCAGTGGTTGGGCCTAGGGGCCAACTGCTAGGCCAGGGCACTATTGTAAAGAATGATGGAGGACACAGCTCCTTCTGAGATATGTCTCCATTGTAGGGAATGATGGAGGACACAGCTCCTTCCGAGATATGACATCATTGTAGGGAATTATGGAGGTCACAGCTCTCACTGAGATATGACACCATTGTAGGGAATGATGGAGGTCACAACTCTCACTTAGATATGACACCATTGTAGGGAATGATGGAGGTCACAGCTCTCACTGAGATATGACACCATTGTAGGGAATGATGGAGGTCACAGCTCCCTCTGAGATATGACACCATTCTAGTGAATGATGGAGGTCACAACTCTCCTTAGATATGACACCATTGTAGTGAATGATGGAGGTCACAACTCTCACTTAGATATGACACCATTGTAGGGAATGATGGAGGTCACAGCTCTCACTGAGATATGACACCATTGTAGGGAATGATGGAGGTCACAGCTCCACTCTGAGATATGACACCATTGTAGGGAATGATGGAGGTCACAGCTCCCTCTGAGATATGACACCATTGTAGGGAATGATGGAGGTCACAGCTCCCTCTGAGATTGACACCATTATAGTGAATGATGGAGGTCACAGCTCTCACTGTGATAGGACACCATTGTAGGGATTGATGGAGGTCACAGCTCCCTCTGAGATTTGACACCATTGTAGGGAATGATGGAGGTCACAGCTCTCACTGAGATAGGACACCATTGTAGGGATGATGGAAGGTCACAGCTCCCTCTGAGATTTGACACCATTGTAGGGAATGATGGAGGTCACAGCTCTCTCTGTGATATGACACCATTGAAGGGAATGATGGAGGTCACAGCTCCCACTGAGATAGGACACCATTGTAGGGAATGATGGAGGTCACAGCTCCCACTGAGACATGACACCATTGTAGGGATGATGGAGGTCACAGCTCTCACTGAGATAGGACACCATTGTAGGGATGGTGAAGGTCACAGCTCCCTCTGAGATTTGACACCATTGTAGGGAATGATTGAGGTCACAGCTCTCACTGTGATATGACACCATTGTAGGGAATGATGGAGGTCACAGCTCCACTCTGAGATATGACACCATTGTAGGGAATGACGAAGGTGACCGGGCCCCTTTTAAAGATGCACTCCAGTCACAGGGCCTAGCTTCTGTTTTTCATGCAATCATAGTGGCATTGCAGCAAGTTACACCACAGCTATCAAACTCCCTGTTTCTAGTAATCTGGTGCTCGGAGAACACCATTTGATGGGCCTCCTGACTCTGTAGTCCACGTATTCCCAGTCTTGTCTACTGTAGATTCCTATCTTCTTTTTTTTTTTTCTCAAAATCCTGTAACTTTAGTCTGCAGACTGATTCCACTTATTGCCAGGAATTGGCACAAAAGCGTTTTCTAAAGGCAACCCATGGTGTTATCCTCTGTCAGGTACACGCGTGAAGCGGGGGTCCGGTCACTGGACAGGAAGCTGGGAGCCATTTGCAGAGCGGTTGCAGTAAAAGTTGCTGAAGGACTACACAGAGAAGCCAAGCCGGATGCCACAGAGACGGCCAATGTCGAAGGTTAGTAGTGTTACAATATCATTTTTTTAGATTTATATCTGAACTGAAGGCAGCAGGATTTCTTGGATAGAGTAAGAGCTCATGTACACTGCAGCTGATAAACTCACGTTTAGGAGCTGTTCAGCGTTTTTTTCAGCAGCCCCTGAACTCTCCCTAATGTTTTCCTATGTGTCCATGTACACCTCGTCGTTTACAGTCATTTTTTTTTAATGCAGAAAACTTGAGTTCAGCAGACGATTTTATCAGCGTTTCAAACGCAAAATGCTTGCAAACGCGTCAAATCGCGTTTATAAGTGTTTGCATTTGAAATTTTTTTTTTTAACTCTGCCAGTTCCCGATGCTGTCCAGAGCCTTTTTTCATCATGAAAAATGCATGCAAAGTGTTTACAAGGTACTCAGATGGACAAAACACTGAACACAGGATGTTCCTATAATGACCAATTCACACCTCAGACCTCTCCCACCCTTGGAAACAAAAGATATGTTAATGACCATTCACACCTCAGACCTCTCCCACCCTTGGAAACAAAAGATATGTTAATGACCATTCACACCTCCAATTCCTCATGAAGACCCCCTGCCAGGTGACCTTAATGACTCCCTCCACCAGACACCTTTCCCACCCTTGGAAACCAAAGAAATGTTAATGAGCAACTCACACCTAAAATAATCTCAACACATACTGCTGTCTCTGCTTCTACTCTCTGTATTTCTCTGAAATAGTTAATAATTTACCACTTTTCAGTGCATTCTGGGCATTTGGGAGGTTCTCCTGTGCTTAGCTTTAAAAAAACGCTTCTAAACGCACATAAATGTGGTATGCAAACGCGGCTAAACAGACATTTTTTAACCTACGTTTTCCAGCCATCAGTTTCCATCATACAGAAGTATCCCGTGTACATGGGGCATAAGAGAGGGCCATGATCCCCTGTAAGGAAATTTGTCTGGTTTTTTGTGGGTTTTTTTCACTCTTTGTGTCCCATTGGAGAGATTTCCCTTCATTTCATGCCCCATATCCAAAACAGGAAGTGAGAGCAAATCTTTCCAATGTGAGGGAAATGCCTGGTAGTCACCTGGGTCACCAGAACTAGTGTTTTTATGGAAAGACCTCTTCTCTATTCCTGTTCTGATGGCCTCTCAAAATTTGTGATTTGCTTTCCCTTGCAGTGATAACGGTCGTAAGGATGACCGTAACCGGGACACAGGCAGCAATGGAAACCTGACAGGTGTTCTAATTGTGGGGGGCACCGATTTTTGTGTTGCCTAGGGCAGTACAAAACCTAAATATACTGCTGAGTAAATCTAAAGGAAATTGGGTAGAAAACTGTATAGCCGAAGTATAATAGACTTTCTATTACTCTTCATCCCAGCAATATCGGCTCATTAAACATGAGGCCTACAGTTTGCAAACACTCCATGCAGACATTGAGTTCAATTGTTAACACTCCATGCAGACATTGAGTTCAAGGCAAACACCGGGCTCCTCCAGCATTGAGCTCTTGGCGCAAAATTCAGCCCACCTAATCATTTTAGGTTTCAGGTGCCGTTTCTCCGACAATATCAGGTGCATTAACAGATTTACGGCAGCTATTTCCTGTTTGGCGCGGCAGGGAGAATAGCCTGTGTGTTCAGGGCCCGCCATTCATATAGTAACCTGCGGTTCCCCAGCAGTAGCACGAGGAATTACTCTCGACTCTCCAGATATTTGTACAGCGTTTCCAGCGTCCCGGGCCTCACATGTGAGTTATCACCTCTCACCTTGCAAACAGCTGCGCACCTGCTAGAGCGGCTAATAACCGTTCTCATACAATCGCCGAACATGACCAAGATGTTGTTTTTTTTTTAGGGGGGGGGGGGGGGTTTAGCAGGTTTATAAAGAGCCTGCACTCTCCTCTCTGTTTGCCTGCAGAATCATTTTTTTACTACCAGGAAAAGGCTTCTGTAATAGCTTTATAAATCCACTACTCAGCGCCGATTGCTGTAACAGAGGCCAGCCAACTCGCAGCACCTTTATTACATATTAATCGCTCATAGGAAATGAAGTGCGGAGCTCTCCAAGAGGCAGGAACAGAGCCATCCGAAATCGTGGTATTTGTACTAATGGGGTTTGTGAAGGAAGCCGTGTCTAGCCGGGCCGGGTCCCCGCAGCCTTCCTGCACCTGTGGAGGTGGACTTCAATAAACCTCTTTGACGCCTATATGAAGGAGAACATTACTCTTTTTCTTTTATTTTCTTTTTTTTTTCTTTTCTTTTTTTTTTTTTAGCTCTATGTTTTTAGAATCAGATGAGAATGTAATAAATATGTACTTTATCTTAGTAACACATTTCTGTGTAGAGTTTGTGATTCTATTTCATACCCATCATTACTAGTGGCGCACCGAAATGAAAATTCTGGTGCTGAAACCGATACTGAAATTTCAGAATACATGTGGCTGAAAACTGAACTGAAATGTGAGGGTGGGGAGGCTCCATTTTTTTTTTTCTACTGTCATGTATATTTTATTTTTGTTTATTTTTTTTTTTCTACTGTCATATATATGACCGAAATGTGAAGGTGGGGAGGCTCCAATTTTTTATTTTTTTTTCTACTGTCATGTATATTTTATTTTTGTTTATTTTTTTTTCTACTGTCATATATATGACCGAAATGTGAAGGTTTCCAATTTTTTATTTTTTTTTTCTACAGTCATGTACGTTTTTGATTTATTTATTTTTTTTTTTTTTTTCTAATGTCATGTATATTTTATATTTTTTAATTTTTTTTACTGTCATATATATTTTTTTTTTTTTTTTTCTACTTATGATTTTTATTGCTATCACATAGGGGACCAATAGTCCCCTATGTGATAGCATATGAGTGACAGGTCTTCTTTGTAGGGGGTGGGGGGCAGAAATGTGCAAGGAGGGGGGGCAGGAGAGGGGCAGTGTATACAGAGAGGGAGCGGTTGTATAGAGCGAGGGAGGTTTGTATTCAGCGAGGGAGCGGTGTATACAGAGAGGGAGCGGTGTATACAGATTTTTGTATACAGGGAGGGAGCGGTTATACAGAGAGGGATGTATACAGAGAGAGGGGACAGCGGTGTATACAGAGAGGGAGCGGTGTATACAGGGAGGGAGCGGTGTATACAGGGGGAGCGGTGTATACAGAGAGGGAGCGGTGTATACAGGGAGGGAGCGGTGTATACAGAGAGGGAGCGGTGTATACAGAGAGGGACGGTGTATACAGGGAGGGAGCGGTGTATACAGGGAGGGAGCGGTGTATACAGGGAGGGAGCGGTGTATACAGGGGAGGGAGCGGTGTATACAGGGAGGGAGCGGTGTATACAGAGAGGGAGCGGTGTATACAGCGAGGGAGCGGTGTATACAGCGAGGGAGCGGTGTATACAGCGAGGGAGCGGTGTATACAGCGAGGGAGCGGTGTATACAGCGAGGGAGCGGTGTATACAGCGAGGGAGCGGTGTATACAGCGAGGGAGCGGTGTATACAGCGAGGGAGCGGTGTATACAGGGAGGGAGCGGTGTATACAGCGGGGAGCGGTGTATACAGGGAGGGAGCGGTGTATACAGGGAGGAGGGAGGGAGCGGTGTATATACAGAGAGGGAGCGGTGTATACAGCGAGGGAGCGGTGTATACAGCGAGGGAGCGGTGTATACAGCGAGGGAGCGGTGTATACAGGGAGGGAGCGGTGTATACAGGGAGGGAGCGGTGTATACAGGAGGGAGCGGTGTATACAGGAGGGAGCGGTGTATACAGCGAGGGAGCGGTGTATACAGGGAGGGGAGCGGTGTATACAGGGAGGGAGCGGTGTATACAGGGAGGGAGCGGTGTATACAGGAGGGAGCGGTGTATACAGAGAGGGAGCGGTGTATACAGGGAGGGAGCGGTGTATACAGGGAGGGAGCGGTGTATACAGGGAGGGAGCGGTGTATACAGGGAGGGAGCGGTGTATACAGCGAGGGAGCGGTGTATACAGGAGGGGCGGTGTATACAGCGAGGGAGCGGTGTATACAGGGAGCGGTGTATACAGGGAGGGAGCGGTGTATACAGGGAGGGAGCGGTGTATACAGGGAGGGAGCGGGTGTATACAGGGAGGGAGCGGTGTATACAGAGAGGGAGCGGTGTATACAGGAGGGAGCGGTGTATACAGGGAGGGAGCGGTGTATACAGGGAGGGAGCGGTGTAAGGGGTGTATACAGGAGGGAGCGGTGTATACAGGGAGGGAGCGGTGTATACAGAGAGGGAGCGGTGTATACAGGAGGGAGCGGTGTATACAGGAGGGAGCGGTGTATACAGGGAGGGAGCGGTGTATAGAGGGAGGGAGCGGTGTGTATACAGAGAGGGAGCGGTGTATACAGAGGGAGCGAGGGGAGCGGTGTATACAGGGAGGGAGCGGTGTATACAGGGAGGGAGCGGTGTATACAGGGAGGGAGCGGTGTATACAGGGAGGGAGCGGTGTATACAGGGAGCGGTGTATACAGGGAGGGAGCGGTGTATACAGAGAGGGAGCGGTGTATACAGGGAGGGAGCGGTGTATACAGGGAGGGAGCGGTGTATACAGTGAGGGAGCGGTGTATACAGTGAGGGAGCGGTGTATACAGTGAGGGAGCGGTGTATACAGAGAGGCTCCCTCACTGACTGTCACTATAGGTCAGTGCCGGTTTTTAAAATGCAATTGCTGGGTTTTTTTTTTTTTCTTCACTATAGCTCACAGAATTAGCCGTCACTTTCCCCAGAGCTAAAGGAAACTTTGTTTCTTTTAACTCGGGAAAATATACTAAAAGGAAACTTTGTTTCTTTTAGCTCCGGGGGAAAAGTGACAGGTAATTCTGTGAGCTATAGCGAAGAAAAAAAAAAAGAAAATGTGGGAAAACACCGCAAAACGTTTACAAAGCCAAAAACAGTAGCTGTAACAACGTCAAGTTTGCATGAGGACTTTTGATTAAAAAAAAGCTACAAAATGCAAACGCGGAAAAAACATGGGAAAATGCCGCTAAATGCTAATGCAAAAAACGAAAAAAGCTGAAAAACTCACGTTTTTTAACGTGACTTTACAAAGCCAAAAACAGTAGCTGTAACAACGTCAAGTGTGCATGTGAACTTTTGATTTAAAAAAAAAAAAAAAACACTACAAAATGCAAACGCGGAAAAACGTGGAAAATGCCGCTAAACGCTAATGCAAAACACTAAAAAAGCTGAAAAACTCACGTTTTTAACGTGACTTTACAAAGCCAAAATTTTACAACAGCTGTAAAAACGTCAAGTGCGCATGAGGACTTTTGGTAAAAAAAAAGCTACAAAATGGAAAATGTGGATAAACGTGGGAAAATCCTGTTGAACGCTAATGCAAAAACGCTAAAAAAACCTCAAGTTTTTAACGTGACTTTAAAAAGCCAAAAACAGCAGCTGTGAAAACGTCAAGTGTGCATGAGGACTTTTGGTAAAAAAAGCTACAAAATGCAAACGTGGGAAAATGCCGCTAAACGCTAATGCAAAAACGCTTAAAAAAAGCTGAAAAACTCCACGTTTTTAACATTACCAACGTTCTCAAACCACCCCGTGTGCATGGAGCCTGAGATTTGTGACCGCACTGAAACTTTAGTAAATATAATCACATCCATCGTCGGCAGCTCCTGCAGAAGAATCGGCACAAGGATCTATTGAGCTGCACTTTGTAGGACTTGTTCTTCGGCTGCCTCGTGTTTATTGCCATTGCAAATCACCAAAACGACTTTCGAGTCACAATATAGGATTGCTGCGCTCATTCGTCTTAATCCCAGGCTTGGACAGACCGCTCGCCATCATTTCCAAATGAAACAAATTATGATGTGTTTAATCCGTAGAAGACGTTTCCACTTGTGTGGTCGCCATCTGTACCTACGGATTTAATTGTCTGAAATGAAATTGGAGCCATTAATGGTATATTTCAGCATGGAGTTCATTTTACTGCGTGTTATTTAGGTGTAGAAGGTTTGGACGCCTTTCTTCCCTTTCTGTTGGAATTTCTTTAATTTTTCTAGATAAATGTTCAGCCATCCAGAATCTTACGTCTTTATAGGCACAACGCAGGTCACAAATAGAGGGACTAAACTTTTGAATTTGGCTAAAGTTAGTCTTTTAAGATCGAGGACTTTAGGAAAATTGTATTTAGACTTGTGCAAGACATGTAAAGTATATCCAGAAATGGGTGTATTAGAGGGTCAGTCTACACAAAACTCCACCATGGAGGAATACAGCTTGGTTGTAAGCAGCCTACGGTTATAATGCCGCATACAGGAGAAATAGACTTTAAAATAGAAGCGTGGGTTTGTTTGTTTTTCCCAAAATTTATACGTACCTAGGTGGGTGCAGCATCGGTCCCCTGCTGGCTCTAAGTGGGAAAACTCAGCAATCACATAGTTACATACATAGTTAGTCTGGCTGTAAAAAGACAAAAGTCCATCCAGTTCAACCATTAAAAAAAAAAAAAATTACACAGAGCAGGTCAGTATAACATGTTTGTTATGTTCCCCCTGTGCCTGCGTGGGTTTCCTTTGGGTATATGGAGTATGTGTATGTACAAATTGGCCCTAGTAAGTGTATGTATGAATTGGCCCTAGTAAGTGTGTGTATGAATTGGCCCTAGTAAGTGTATGTATGAATTGGCCCTAGTATGTGTGTATGAATTGGCCCTAGTATGTGTATGTATGAATTGGCCCTAGTAAGTGTGTGTATGAATTGGCCCTAGTATGTGTATGTATGAATTGGCCTAGTAAGTGTGTGTATGAATTGGCCCTGGTAAGTGTATGTATGAATTGGCCCTGGTAAGTGTATGTATGAATTGGCCCTAGTAAGTGTGTGAATATGTATGATTGGCCCTGGTAAGTGTATGTATGAATTGGCCCTGGTAAGTGTATGATGATTGGCCCTGGTATGTGTATGTATGAATTGGCCCTAAGTGTATGTATGAATTGGCCTAGTAAGTGAATTGGCCTAGTATGTGTTGTGTATGAATTGGCCCTGGTAAGTGTATGTATGAATTGGCCCTGGTAAGTGTATGTATGAATTGGCCCTAGTATGTGTATGTATGAATGCAAGTTAGGGACCTTAGATTGTACACCCCTTGAGGGTTAGGGATTGTACCCCCTTGTGA